TTCCCTTCCTCCGGTCCTCAGGCACCTCTCCTGTTCTCCATGACCTCTCATAAATGATGGAGAGTGGCCCAGCAATAAGGTCTGCCAGCTCTCTGAGCACTCGCGGGTGCATCCCATCAGGGCCCATGGACTTATGGATGTCCAGTTTGGCCAAGGGGTCTCTAACCCAATCCTCCCCGACAGAGGGAAAGTCTCCCTCCCTCCAGACCTTCCTCCTTCTCTCCAGGGCCAGGGATTCCTGAGGGACAGCTTTACCAGTGAAGACCGAAGCAAGGGCAGCATTCGGTAACTCCACCTTCTCACTTTTTCTCACTGGCTTGCATTTGTGTCCTACCCCCCTAATTATCTGCGCGCAGAGATGAGGAGGGACCCCTCCGGGTGTCCGCCCTCCTCACACAGCCCCTTCGTTCCTTAGTTCTGATGGCCACGGGCGCGTACGCACGGCCTCCATGAGGCCAGGCAGGGTGGTGGTGGGAGGGCAGGGAACGCGTCCTCTCCCGCAGCGCGGGGATTAAGGGGTTGGAAGCGCCAGGCCTAATCCGTGCAGACAGCTGGTTCCCAGATTAGGCGGATTTACCGGCCCGGGGCCGCCTCCACCCGCCCTCAGCCGCCGCCGCCGCCCGGCCCTCCTCCACCCGCCGCCGGACTACAACTCCCGGCGTGCCCCGCGGCGGCCTCGCCGCCGTCTCCATGGCAACACCGAGCCCTCCCCGGCCCAGGGCCCTCAGAGGCCTGCGGGCTTCCAGCACCCCCCGGGGGGGCACCCCCGGGACTGAGGCGGCTCTTGGGCCCCGGTAACCTCCCCGGCCTCGGGAGAGCCGGAGGGATGCCCGCGGGGTGCCAGCTACCAGCCTGCCGCTGCTCCCTGCAGCCCCACGCGGGTCAGCAGCAGGTGCTTGCCTTCCACCCTGTCTGCAACAGGAACCCAGTTATGGTAATCAAGGTGTAATTAATCACACCCGCCTCCCGTGGGTTCCGATCCCTGCCCAGGAGCTGTCTGCATGGGCACAGGCCCGCAGTGGCGCGGGCACCCCCATTTCCCCACCAACAGCTGGGTGCTAGCAGGTACCATCACCATTGCCATCACTGTCACCGGGTCTCGCTGCAGGGAACAGCCCGTCCCCAGCGCCCCTCTGCAGGAGCAGGTAAGTAAATAGC